ATATATATGTATATGCATATATATGTATACTTTATATATATATAGTATATTTGAGTAAAAAGTTGTTGCATGCTGATCCTATTTTGGATTTCTGGTTAGGGCTCATTAGCGCTAGACTGTTCAATTAACTGGTCTGTACCATAGTTTGAGAACCACTGCTCTACATAACAGGCTTGGCCTTTATTTATTGAATTTCATTTTTTTATTTCTCACAGTCTCTGGATTAACTGTGACCTAATGACCCGCCCTGCACTAAAGTAACACTAATTGTTTATGGCGTGGCTGAGGCCAGTGTGACCAGGTCACAGTCAAGCAAATGTGGGACCAAGACCAAGGATATAAAGGATACTGTAACTTCAACTGTATTAACTGTAATTTATTGATTTACAGCATCTATTTTTACAACTGTGGCATCAGTTTATGTTAGACCCGCACCCAGCTAAAAATGACTAGCAATAAATGGGAACATTGTTCTGTATAGGCCTCTACAGGCGGTTGTACAGAATTTCACACTTTGAACTAATCAACACTTTCTTTTTGAATGCTTCCGTTTTGGATTTTCTCTGTGGGGGTGGAAAAATAGTGTTAAGGTGAACTGTTACAGTAATTGATTCAAGCATATTAGGAGCTGAGACTATAGACACCTCTTCTATTCTCACAGCCACTGGATATAACTTACACCACAATAAGTTTCTTTTCAACAATTTCAAGCAAATTTGAACGCGCCACATTTCAACTTTTGGGACAACCAAAATAAACATCCAAAGGCTGTGAAGTCCTTCCTAAAGAGGGACATCTGGTCAGCCTGGAAAGCTGAGGTTACAATCCCTAAATCTTAGCAAGTCGTCAGGAATAAAAAGGTCACACAGACAAAATCATATCAGTGAGGTTTGAGGCTCGCCCCAGATATGCTAGTTGCTATGCTAAGTTGTAACGCTTCAACGGGTTTCAAAACATAAAACTGCATCTGTGTCAAATTCTTTTTTAGGGTCATACTCTGGTTTTGGGTCACATACTGTACTGTATTCTCTGCAGATCTGGTTCCGTATTGTCCACAGGGCTCAGCTGGCTTTTTCCAGAGTAAATGAACAACACTGCACCAACATTTGTGTTAATGGAACTCGACATGACAAGTGCGAACACGGTCTTAATGTTATGTTGCTGTTGGCAGTGTGTGAATAGATACGACACTGCCAGACACACACATTCTCACAGCTTATAGATCTGCTGTGACCATGCGTGTGTGTGTGTGTGTGTGTGTGACTGACACAGTTAGAAGGATGTGATGTTATTATTCATTTCTGATGGTGAATTAATTGTTCGGTTTACTTCTTGTGTACTCTCCTATCAATATTCCACTGATTCAGGCATTTGACTACAAACAAACACAACCAATTTCTTGGCGCAAATTCTTGTGTTTCTTGTGTACACTCTAGTTACCTGCCTCCAGTTACCAGGCAACTTGGCTTTCCAACTTACTTACAGCCACCTCCTCGACAAAGTCCAAAAAAAACAAAAACAGCAGCAGAGAGTTCACGTTCAGAAGTTTCTGTTTTTCCAACATATTTATCTGCCTGGTATTAATGCAATAGTTGCTGATTAAACCAAAACATTACTTTCTGATTAATCACTATGAAAATACCAATTAGTTGCAACTCTAGTCTCACATCACATTAATAAAAATATAAAGGCCTTTGTTTTCCAAGGGTTACGTAAAACAGAGCAGCTGGTATAAAATGCTGTAGGAACAAAGCACTTTATAATTACTGCAAATTACTATGGATTACACTAATTTATATTACACATTCATTTTTAAACATTTAATAAAGTATTACATTTATATACAGTGGAACGTCGGTTTTCAACTTAATTCATTCCTGAAGGCCGTTCGTGAACCAGAAAGTTGGAAAACTGAACCAATTTTCCCCATTGGAATCACTTTCAGTAGCCTTTTTAGATCCCATGGTGGTTTATGGGAAAAAAAACACAAGAGAAATCAGACAACAGCTCTTTGCGTGTAGATCCCGAGCGCAGACTGAGGCAAGAGTGACGCCACACGCTTAGTGATCAGCTGCTTGTGTGGTATTGTCTCTTGTTTAGCAACCGAGTTATTGCACGACAACCGAGGCAGTTTTTGGTTAAAATTTTGTTCATGAACAGAATTGTTCAAAAAGGCAGGCGTTCGACAACCAAGGTTCCATTGTAATAATAAATAATTGCATAATATAGATATATAAATAATAGATTTATATACAGTATGTATACATACATACTGTATATATTAGGTTGGGCATTTTAGCACGTTATTAATGCATTACCTTTGTACCTCCCTACAAACACAGACTTAACAGACTAATCCCCTGCACAGTAAATCCCAGCTCTTAACTCTTGGTTATGCTGCTCCCTGATAAAAGAAACACTGTTTCTACTGTTACCTCAGAAATTGCTCAGGATTTTGTATATGTAAAAGGATTTTTTATAAAACAATAATGATAATATCAGTGCCCCGGCATTAAGCTTTAGTATTTAGTTTCATTTGCTTTGGTTACATTGTTTAAGTTTAAACTAAAAGGTAAATTAAATATTTAATTTAACTGCTGCTGTATAAAAAGTGCTGATTTAAAAAGTTTGCACAAAAAAAAATGTTATGGCACTTTTATTCATATGACGTGCACATCACACAAACGTCTTTTTGAGAAGCAGAATGAACTGATGTTTAGTCAAGGTCTCTCTCACACACACACACACACCATCACACACACACACACACACACACACACACACACCTGATCATTTAGCTGTTCAGCTCTTTGTGCAAAGCAACGGTAATTAAGCGGCCCTGAATGGCACGTTAATAATGACGTCCCTTCTTCTACTGTGCTATCTGGGGTAAATAAGGTGGAAGGAAGAAAGAGTCGGAAACCTGAAGTGAAAATGTAACCTGTTATTTGTTACTGAACAATCACCTATTATCAGAGGTGATGGATTAGCCACAGGTTTGTCCTTTTTATCCTGTAGGGATGAGGTGAAGAGTGGAGCACAGTTTCAGCCTGCAGTCACAAAATAATGTGAAATTTTAGACATGGAGCCTGAAGGAGGAGAGGAGACAGCAGCACAAACACCAACCGCTTTTTTAAAACCACCACAAAAAAATCAGAACAGTGGAGGTTTTCAGCATCATCGACCGACAAGGTGAAGTCAATGTATACATTTGTGAGGGTGAGTGAAAAACTGAACACAGCTCAACAAGCCTGAGCACGATCTGGATCTGGAACTGAAAAGCTTACTTTGGTGTGACCACATAATTGCATGAAGTGAAAATTCCTTTAAGAACTAAAAAGAAGGAGTAATCTAATTATATTAACAGTTGTTCTCAAACTATGGTAAGAGTAGAGGTGGTGGTATTTGCCTCCCTCTGGGGGAAAGCAGGAGAGTCAGATTGTTTTGGGGTGTCAAATGTACAGCCCGTAGGCCAAAACCACCCTGCTGAGGGATTTGATCCGGCCCGCTTTATGAATTTTAAAATTAAAAAAAAAATACACCAACACTTATGTTCAGAAAATGATTTGTAAAATATTATTTCTTTAAATACAAAGATTTATCTAATGTACTTTTTTGCATGAAAACAAAGGGGGAAAAGACAGACTTTTTCAAATTTCATTATGTTATGTAATTATGTTATGATTGTATTGGTCCAGCCTGCTTGACATCTAATTAGGTTGTATGCGACCCCTGAACCAAAATGAGTTTGACACCCATGGTGTAATTTCCCTTCCAAATGTTTTTTCGAAGTTTGACTTCATATGTTAGAGAGAGTAGGGCGACAGAGCAAGACATTGGCAGCTTCTGAGGTCATGGCTACACTGCCTTTGTTCAGAGGTTTTCAAAAGCACCTCCATCGATAGTGCATTTGATGGTAACGCACCTGAATTCCAAACTGACTAAACTGGAATTATTCGTTTAATCAAGAGGGCTACATTGCAGACGGCTGACGTTAGGTCAACATCCCGACAGTCTTACGACTAGCTAAACTGTTATAAAAGCATAGGAAAGGACTGTATCATGTAGGCTTAAGGAAAATGTGGCTCGCGTTTTATCGCCGAGCATCGCGCTAAAGCTGGCATGTTGAAGCCTGTGACTAGCTAACTATACTGCACGATGTGTTGATTGATTTGTACAATGAAATATATTCTTATAACATATAACATGTGGAGAAAACGTCCAATCTGTAAAAGCATATACTTTACATTTAGCATTACAAACTCCACCGCAATGAACCCTGACGTTTTTTCAACTGTGTAGCAACAAATTGTAAGCAGGTGCTTTCGGGATATGCAGCTTTAAAATCACATTTCTGTCGCCACCATAACAGTACATCGACAGTTTTTCAGGACGTGATTTTAACGCCATTAAAATGCACAGTCTCATCATTGAATACCATTGAATTTAATTTTTTTTATTATTTT